CAAATAAATTTTATTTATTAGCCAATAGGTAGCAGAAAAGATTCTATATTACTTGGGTTTTAAACAGTGAGTGGCTTAAGTTTGTGAGTGGCGCAGTATGTGGCCTACAGTGCAATTAGAGAGACCAGTATCAGTGAACTGTAGAGATGTGAAAATGCATGGAGAATGCAGGGTAATGGAGAATTATCAGACGTGTGTCAAGAGCACAAAGAACTATTAGAACATCAAGGGAGACTAGGCTGGAAAGCTAGATGAGGATGAAATTATGAGAGGCTTTGTATATCATAACAAAGGATTTTGTACTTTATTCTTTGGACAGTGGAGAATTGCTGGAGATTTTAATTCTAATGTACTGTGTATGGAATGTATTTATGGAATTCCATGTGATGTATGGAAATAATGAGATATTTTTGACCATAGAAGTGAATGAAAATAGAGGCTAGGACAAAGATAGAGGTCCTGGTTGTAAGTGGACTGAGAAGTAGGAGACAAAGGACATTATTTTCATAGAAATACCAGGATTTGGTGACCAATGAAAGTTCAGAATGAAGTGTCTATATTGGGTTTCAATTTTGGATGATTGTGTGAAAGTGAAGAAAATGAATGCATTTTGGAAACAGTTGAATTTGAGACGCCTGTAGAGATTCCCAATAATTAATTGGCAATCGGTTCCAGAGCTCAGGAGAGAGGTTGGGGATGAAGATATAAATCTGAGTCATTAGCACTGCAGGGGACATGGAACTACTTCCAGGAATCTGTCATCTTTTCAGAAGTATAGAGAAGACATTCCCATAACTTCTAGTAACACATTTTCTACCAGTAAATTGTACGCTCTTTCTTTCACTTGAAAAAATTTATATTCAAGTTTTAATCAAATTTCTCCTTATTTTCATTCTTTTGAAAGTGTTTAATGATCATCACGATATTACTTGCTAATGAAAAAGAAGCATTTCAAGAACAGATAGGAATGGACTAATTTTGCCATTATTCTTTGAAGTTGAAGACTTTTATAACTAAGCTTTTGAAAAGAGCACCTCAAGATGATAGTGTTGAATTTAATAATAATTCTCCACTTGCTATCTTGTTTTTACAGTATTCCTGCTACAAAAACTGCCATGCATTCTTCCATCTATTTACGTGACCAGTTTTTATTAGGTGTCTACCATGTCTCAAGCCCTATGCTGGGGGCTGGGGATGAAAAGAGGAGAATATGCTGGATATTTGAATGTTTAAGTGTTTAAGAAAAATATTTCCAATAACTACCGAAAAGTAAGTTCCTTCCTGATATCTCCAAGAACTTAAAAAAAAAAAAAAAAAAAAAACTACCAAAACTCTTGTGCAAGAAGAAATGGTTAAGGTGTAATTGTCAACAAACATCAAGGACCTACTTTTAGAAATGTAACTACGTGGAAAAGCTAAAAAACAACGTTCACATTTATTATGACTTTTGTGTAAAAGCAGGAGAGAGCAATTTGAATACTTTTATAGGTTGGGGCTACTTTAAAATTTCAAAACTAAATAAGTATAAAAATAGATGCTGCTTCCATGGTAACATAAAAGAATAGCAATAAAAAACAGGAAAGGTGGCTCAGAGAATAAAATCCTAAGATCTGTTCTTTTAAAGTAAGTCAAAGAGTTAAACACGTCCATAAAATAAAAATACTGAGTTCCATCAAAGCATAAATCATAATAGGGTTTTATGTGATGGTTTAATTTTTACATAATATATGTTTGTTAGAACAATGGGAGAGGCAGTTCATTTCATTAAACTTAACAATACCATAGGAAAGGTTGTGCATTTATCGTGCCTCTGGCATTAGCCACTGAATGAATGTTTTATTTTTTCTTATAGAAGTAAAAAGAGAAATAACTGAGACATAAATGAAAATAAGTAAAGAGAATAATTAATGGTAATAGACCGATATGTACCGAGGGTATAGTATATGCCAGGCTAGTGTTAGTTGTTTTACAAATTTCACTAATTTTTAGAGAAAAAAATTGCGAGAAAATCTTTTATCCATTTTATAGATAAAATATTAAAGCTCAAAATATATAAGTAACTTACCATAAGTTACCCAATTAATCAGGTCAGACCAATGTTATAAAATGATGTTCTTTTATTCTCAATAATTCAATTTTCTCCAGTTTTATCTGTTTAATTATGAAAGCAATACATATAAACAGAAAACTGTGGGTTAAAAAGTAAGATTTTTCTTATTCCAACTCAATCTTCTCACCGGAAGTAATTTATATTCCAGATAGATTTCTATATATTTCTAATAGATTACAATGCATCTATATAACTAAAGGTATTGTAGATACTATATAGAGAAAAATGTTCACATATATTTTTCATAAATGAGATCATTCAAAGTAAGTTGTAATCTGGATTTTTTTCTCTTTTTCAATTTTCGATGACAATACATGTAGACCTCTCTCAGTCATTTTGGTGGCCATGTAGTATTCTATACTATGAATACACCATGGTTTATTTAAACATTCCCCTCTTGGTAAATATTTAGTTGTTTCTATTGTTTGTATTATAACAAAAAGGGCTCCAGTAAACATTCTTGTATATATATTTGTAGACATGAATAACTATTCATGTAGATGGAAAAATATTGGTTTTAATTTCTATCTTGTCATTAAGTTGATAACGTAGAGACAGAATATATGTAGGTATGGGTTTTCTACTTATTGTTTATTTGTTCACTTTATTTATGAATCCCTGACATTGGTGCCTTTATATATATTTGGTTACTATGTCAATAACAACACTCTTTGACAATGTCTACACAGTACTAAGGTATAAATCTATTGTTCTAACCATGTCTTTCATCTGTTTACTTGACTATTACCTATCAGGTCCCTACCATATCCTGAGCTCTCTGTCAAGTGCTGTGGATGAAGAGAGGAGTAAGATAGAACCCCCGCCAGCAAGAATTTTACAGTAGAGTGGGATAGCTCCTTTCTGGGCATTTGAAAACTTGTAAATGAATAATATATTTTTTAACATTTATGATCCAGGTGTTTCATGTGATTTAGACAAATACAGGTATATGATTGGTTATTCTTTTTAACACTAACCATAGTACCTTAATGAATCTAATGAGGATAATTCATCTGGGGTATCTTCCTCCCTCATTTTCATCTGCATTAGAATCAGAGTGATTTCAGAAATGATGGTTCTCTGTTTGAATTCTGTTGGTCATCATGGTGCAGTTGACTTTTTTCATAAGCTGTTGAAACATATTATGGGAGATACTTCTAAAAGTCCACCCAATATCCATGGTAAATAAATTGTGAGGAACAGTCATATGTGAGGTGAAATATTCTGTGTTTTTGTGTTAAGAGTATTCAAGTAACACATTTCTGGCCAAAGAGACATACAAGGAGGTATGTTGAGCCTCTAGGAAGTCTTTTCTTTTTCCTAATAAAAGGACAGGTGTGGCTATTGCAGCTCCTCTCTACTCTCACTTCTTCCTGCCTTGAATGTAGACATGATGTCTGGGGCTTCAGGAGCCCTCTTGTGACCAGCTGATGATAAAAGTTACCTTTCAGGACTGAAGAATGGAAGATAGAAACTTTCTGGTTTCTTGATGGAATCATTGAGGACCTGAACAAATGTCAATGGTTGACTACCTTCAGATCTCTTACTATGTGAAAAAATTAAACCCTATACATTTAGTCCTCTGACAGTTAAGCTTTTTGCCATTTCCAGCTGAATTCATAGGGACTCGATTTGTTTTTGGTTGTAGAGCCTTGTCACATTCATTGTGAATCAATAATGTCATGGACCATTTTTGAATGCTTTGTCATTTTTCTTCCTATGTTGTTGTTTCTATCCTCTTCTTGCATAAGGTCATTTTTCCCTGCTATAACTTAGAAAGTTTGATTTAAATATTTTCTTGCTTAAATTGAAACTTTGGAACACTAATTAGGATTTTAATAATTAAGTGGATTTTTTTTTTTTTTAGAGGAGAAACTTCCTTTTAATGTTCTCCATTGAATTACACAGGTCCTATTTGAAGTATGGTGCCAATACTCAACAGGGCTATTGCTTTTTCTCTGTGGATTCTTGACACATTCAGCTACACCACAAATATAACCATAATGTTGTGCTGGATAGAATAATTCTTGCTTCCTCAGTTCACTCTAATGCACCAGATAAAGAACTCACTGGTGTGTTTCTCCTAGACTTTTGTAGACTACATGTCTACAGAGGATTAGCTATCTTGAACTCTGCTTTGTATTAAATTCCCATAATTCCAAATTCTATATCTCAAAGTGGCCGTGGCAGAAAGGCTGTTCTCGAAGATTCACAGCTAAACATCCTCCACATGGCCCACCTTGCAGAGCCATTTCCAATTCTTAAAGAAAAAACAAGAATCCTTTTATAGTTTGATAAGTCTCTGATAATTAATTGGATTGTCATGCGCACAAAACGCTGTCCTAGACTTGTAGTCAGCCATCAGTCTATTTAAATACTACATTTTTACCTGGTCCAAAGGGCATCTTCAGATAGGCAAAGCAAAAATGTAACAGATGTGCTTATCTATGCACTTGAAAATTTTATTGAAACTTAAAAACTCATAGAAAACATGGTATACATAAACATTTGCAAAAGAAATTCAGAATAATCACCACTGGGAAAACCTCATACATGTTGAGGGATTATTTTGTATTATTCAGTTAATAACAGAATAAAATGTAGTCCTCATTTGCTCATATATGGTAAAATGAGATGGGTCTAAACTATTTGGCTATCCTCATTAATTGTAGGCTTATTGAAAGTGCTGCCCTTTTTAATAAATCCTGTAGTGCTTTCTTAAGATACTTGGGATAATAAAATAGCCAAATTAGTTCTTGATTTGAATGCCCATTAATTTGCTAAACTAAGACTTTATTGTTATTGACATGTGAGTCATGGTTTATCTTGGTAATTTTCACAACAATATTTTCCCCCCAAATATGAAGCTGATAAAAAAAGGAGAGTTTACCTGATTTCCTCCCATACCATGACAGTTGAATATACCCACTTTTTCATTTTCCTTGCGGCCCATGTTGTCTAAACATTGATTGGTTTCAACATTTCTTATCTAAAGCAAACATACAAAAAACATAAGTCAGATAGTGATTTAAGTCAGAAAAATCTTTCCAATATTATCAAATTGTATATCAATAACAAAATGATACACGTTTGTAAAGAAATTTCTCCAAGAAGAACACATTGCTTTAAATATTTCTTTTTCTTTTTCTATGTCCATTCTTAGATCTGTGTAAGTTTTTAACTCCTACTGATGTAAGTAAGTGAACAGCATTGTCATTTGCATCTAATCAAGAGGCACTCCTTGTTTATAGCATAGTATCAGAGAAGTATCTACATATTACAAATTAGGAATTCTTCCCAAAATCCTTTTAAAATTGGGACAGTTTCCAAATTCCACTCAAATAACCAAGTTCTATTCTTAAAATCCTATAATACCACATGCAAAGGAATAGAAACAAATTGTTTAAACATTCAAATTTAAGTTTCTTTAGATTGCTTCATTACTAGATGATACATTCTGTATATTAATAAATATTAAATACATTGCTTATTTCTGTAACTAAAACATACTCACTCATCTTTTTTCATTCCCAATGCCAAACTTAATGAAAAGCAGTTGACCCTAAGAAAAGCTATTACAAGGCTAAATGGTGATTTCACATTAAATTCCTCAAAAGCAAGATTAAATTGTCAACTGCAAACATAAGATTCTTGGTTTACAGTCAAACACTGCATTAGTCCCATAATTAACATAAAGTTAATACATATTTGAGCCAAAGGTAATTACACAAAGCCATTCATTGAGTTTAAAGATGTTAAAATTGCTAAATCAAGCACAAATAAATGCAAAAAACCCTCCCAAACCCCAAAAAATGAAAAAAAAAAACAAGAAAAATCTTTCTAATAGATAGAATGTTTTAGATTTTTTCCTTAGTTTCAACCCCAAGTATGTATTTATACTTGTCCACTCCGCTTGCAAAAAGTTCTTATCTCTGACTATTATTAGGACATGCATATTTTACTGTTCGTTCACATGTTACTCACATATAACTATTTAGTTGTCTATTCTCTAGGCACATGTTTCTTCATATTGGCAAATGGATAAGATTAAAAATTTCTATAGGGGGCCACCCCAGTGGCGTAGTGGTTAAGTTCACATGCTCCGCTTCCACGGCCCGCGGTTCGCAGGTTCAGATCCTGGGCACAGACCTATGCACGGCTCCTCAAGCCATGCTGTGGCAAGCGTCTCACATATAAAGTAGAGGAAGATGGGCACAGATGTTAGCCCAGGGCCAATCTTCCTCAGCAAAAAAGAGGAGGATTGGCAACAGATGTTAGCTCAGGGCTAATAGTCCTCAGCAAAAATAATAATAATAATAATAAAAACTTCTATAGAGGATGGATTAGGTTTATACGATTTACTTTTTTGTATAGTGCAGAACTCATGGTCAAGTAACAGTTCCCGGAGTTGGGAAAAGTGGTGTGATGTGCATTAACGCCCCAATCAGCAATTGGGAATAGTGGTGGGGATTGGAATTCACACTTGGTAAGGGTTGGCCAGACCTGAGTAGAGTGGTCAAGCCCTGTTCCAATGGGTTGAGATTTAGAGCAGAATTATAGATGCTTTCATCAAGAAATCTGTGCAGCAACCAGGTAGAAGGGACAGAACACATCATGAATTAGAGGCAAAGGATACAAGCTTCAAGAAGCAAAATCATGTCCCAGTCCCATACTAGTGGGTTTAGGGCTGAAATGTACTCTTAATCTGATTTAGGTTGGTTCAGGCACTGGAACAAACTGAGCATATAGGCTATGGCTAAAAATTTTTCCGGACTTGTAGCTGGAAAGGATTGAAGAAGGTAACGATTGACAGATGATATAGTAAATTGGTCTGCCTATGTTTCACATAGTCTGATCAATATATAACATATAGGTTGAATTATGTTTAAATCCTTTACATTAGACTTTTCTTATTAACTTTTCATAAAAGGTAGACTTCTTGAGAAACAATAAAATTATTTGTTATTCTTATGTATCATCCTAAAAAAGTATAAAATAGTGTAATACTTACAGGAATAAATATCTCACAAACTTATCAATTCACCTTTAGGTGCAAGATATGCAATCTGATCTAAAGGACCTCTGTTAGCTGCATAGTATTGGAATAGATACTAGTTAATAATTACAGTGGCTGCAGGCTGAGTCACTTGTAAGGTTTTGTCTCTGCTGGACAACAGAAGATTCAAAGCCATATTCAGCCCAGTATATACTCTGACAGCACTTTAAAGGGACATATGGTAGATGCATGTCATCCTCCTCTTTGATAAAGTAAGCACAGAATTTAAGAATGCTTCCAAAATATTTTGACCCCAGTTACAACCTATTATTGATTTTTTTATAATAGATACACTTTGTTTTTTGGTCTGTAATCTCTCGCATGAATTCATTCATTCGTTCATTCATTCACTCAATAAATATTGAGAATATGTCTACTTCATGCTAAGCACTATTCGAGGTGCTGAGGATACTGAACTGAACAAAGTAAACACAGTATCTTCCATCACGGAGCTCACATGTTAGAAGGGAAGAATGCAATACACAAACACATTTGTAATATGTCAGAAGATCAAGAAGCCCTATGAAGAAATATAAAGCATAGTAAGGGTACAGAAAGCAATAGAGGGGGTACTATTTTAGATAGGGGGCCAGGAAAGGCCACTCAGGAAATAATACTTGAAAAAACACCTTATTGAAGTGAGAGAACAGTCACATTTTCATCTATGGAAGAGCCTTCCAGACAAGGGGAACAGCAAATGGGGGCTCCCTGCAGCTGAGAAAACAGAGTGAAACAACGGCTAGCAATGTGGCCAGGGTGCAGGGAGTGAGGGGCAGATTAGAGAGATATCCAAGACTAAATAATGTAAGGAATCTTAAGTTTTTGAGCATGAGAGTCACATATTAATAGCTTATTCTGGCTGCTGTGTGACGGACAAATTAGAGGGAGGCAAAAGTGGAAATAGAGACACGAATAAAGGGACTATTGCAGTCATGCCAGCAAGAGATGACAGTTACTGGGAAGAGTAGGGTAACAATGGAGGTGGAGAGGTCAAATATGGAATGATTGTAAGGTAGAACCAGTAGGACTTGCAGCTGAAGTGGATATGAGCTATGAGAGCAAAAAGGCATCAAGAAGCATTCCAAGGTTTCAGCCTGAGCAAATGGGTAAATGATGTTTCCATCTACTGGGAACAATACTCTGAGTTCTTGTATGTTGATAATTATATCTGTGGCCTTTATACTTGTAAATCAATTTAGTAGATCTGGATTCCTTGGCTCACAATATATTTCCTTGAGTTACTTTAAAATGTGGCTCTATTTACTTCCAACATAAATAGCTGCTTTTGAAAAGTCTGATGATAATCTGGTTTTCTTTCCTTTAGCCTTACAAATGTCTATTTGCCTGAATGCCAAACTGATTCGTTTTCTTTAAAGTCCAATAGATTTACCACACTCTTTCTGAATATTGTTCATTCTGGATCACTCTTCCAGGTATGTGGTGTTCCTTTTGAATATGTAGTTTCAATTTTATTTTCAGGAAACTTTCCTTGAATTCTAGCTATTAATGTTCATTTTGTCTCACTGCTTTGATTTTCCTCATTAGGAAATTCTATTACTTTGGATCTTGTTGCTTATCTTCTATATACGTCATTTTCTATTGAATAGTTTTGTCTTTAACTTCCTCTTCATTTTTAAAAATTTCCTCTTTTTTCCCCTCTAAAACTCTTATGGCTTTTTCTCCTGAGATTATTGACTTATGTGTCCTTTCAAGTTTAGCCTTCATTTCTAAAATGATTTATTCTTTAATTTCTAATTCTTTCCTGCATTTCAGGCCCTCATTTCCAAAGTTTTTCTAAATTTTATTTATGTTGTTTTTTTCTATATTTTATCACTATAAAATTTCTCTTAGGGTGTTTTGACATATTGGGTTACACTTTTCCTCTGTTTTATGAATATAAAGATTTGGTGTGCTTGCACTGTAGAGATATCATTCTACTACTTATTATCTTTATTCTTATAGTAGTCATCTTTTTCTCTTATTTTCCTTTTTTTTTTGGAATCACCTGGCACCTTTAAATTATTCTGCCACTTGGTTCCCATGCCTGCATATTCCTGTTTAATTGGTATAGAGTGTAACCTGGCCATCAGGAGTTGTAAAATCTCTCCAGGTGATTCTAATGTGCAGCAAAGTTTGGCAACCACCATTCTGGAGGAAGGTATATACAGTGTCTTGATGTTAAATGGTGACATTATAATTACTTTTCCTTTTTGAAGTAACTGCTTTTTCAGTGGTTCCCACCTGGGCTACATAATAGACTTACTTGGAAAGCTTTTAGAATATACTTCTGCTTGGCCTCATCCTCATAGATTCTGATCCAAATGGTCTGGAGTTGGAGCAGGATATAGTTTAAAGCTCCCCAGATGATTTGAATATATAATCAGAGTTGAAATCCATTGTATCAGGAGAATATAATGGAGCACTTGCTAGCTGGAAGCCTATCTATTTTGTGAATTATTTTGAAAACTCCGGATGCTGGTGGAAAGTAAAGGAGGCTTTCATAGCAAAGCTGATTCCTCCACTCTGCAGTGGGAATGTTTAGGGTAAGTGTTTCCAGCTGTCCCTGACAGGAAACATTTACACAGGAGTCCATTTCTAACCTCAAAAGTCTAGACCTCCTATTCCAGTACTTTTTTGAACAGTTGAAAAAAATTGGCTTCTATTTTTTGAGATCTCCTGGCTCTATTCATCTCTCCCTTTTTTATCTGGACCTTCCATTTCCTTTGCCAATGTTGTCCTCACCTCCTCAATTTGGGCTTTATTTCTTGCAGTTTCTCCTGAGAAGCAGGTTCAGCTAGTGAGTTTCAAGAGTCACAGGCTGCAGAGTGTTCAGACCCTTCAGATATTAGAAAGGAGATTTTTCACTGACTTGCAGATTGGATTGTATGAAAACCCCTCTTCCAATTTCAGCTATTATCAAATTGGCCTGAAAC